GCTCCACGAAGTGATGTGTTTGAGGGGGAGACGCGCATCTTGCCCAGCGCCCGTGCACACTCGCGGGGGGACGAGCCGTGGCAGTGGGGCTGGGTCAGGGAGGTCGTTAGAAGTCGCAGGAAACGTCCTAACGGGCAGGTTGTACCTGGGGGGGCTGAGCCCACGCTGGCAGTGCCGCGACGTCTTGGACAATACAAGGAGCATCGACTTCTAAGTCGAAGGCGGCTCATCACGCCGCACGGGAGCGCGTTGGGCTGCAAACAATGGGGAGCCGTCTCCAAACTCTCCAAAGGGTCAGGGAGGTCGTTAGAAGTCGCAGGAAACGTCCTAACGGGCAGGTTGTACCTGGGGGGGCTGAGCCCACGCTGGCAGTGCCGCGACGTCTTGGACAATACAAGGAGCATCGACTTCTAAGTCGAAGGCGGCTCATCACGCCGCACGGGAGCGCGTTGGGCTGCAAACAATGGGGAGCCGTCTCCAAACTCTCCAAAGCCCGTTGGCCGAGTCGGTGCCGTCTCTCACACAGCCCAGAAGACTTCACTCGAGACGCAAGAGCCCGCGCCCGCTTTCATCTGAACGCGTGGTGGCGCCCGGGGCGTTTTGGATGCCCCTTGCCTCGGAGGCACGGCTGGCTCTTGCTTCTTGCGGCTGCCTTGGTGCCGGAAGGAGAGAGGAGCCTTGTTTCTACACTGAAAGCCCCAAAAAGCATCCTAGCTCTGCCTGACAACAGGGGGATTGGATAGTGGACGCGCGGGTTGGGAAAACTTGTCCAGGTTGGCGATTCTCAGCGCCCCGGGGTGCCTCGATCCTTTCCGGGGTGCCACACAAGCCGGGCACTATTAGGTGTGTGCACAAGATTCACAAGCAAAACCCGGAGGTTTCCGGCAGGAGTCCGTGGGGTCAAAACCACGCCGACCTGCTGGGTTCTTGCTGAGGTCTTTGCAACAGGAGAAGGGCTCTGCTCTTTTTCTGTAGTAAAAAACGAACAAAAGCCGCTAGCCGGCATGTGTTGAGTCCAAAAACAAGGTGGGGAGTCACCGGTCTAGGCCATAAGCTTGGTCTTAACCTAGTTTGGAAGTGTCTGAATCTAGTGACCATCTCATCACAGCTGTTCAGTGTCTGAAGTGAAAGCACGAATGGGCTCAGGTTTGTTCCTGAAGACCGAACACAAAAGTCATCACGGTTGGTAGTAATCGGTTCTCTGGTTGGACTCGTGTCTGACTTGCAATTATCAATCACTTCAGCAAGATTAGAAGCCACGTGTATCATTTCTATTGGACTTTAAGGCTGTGAGTTTCTAGGGCCTGGCATTGCCTGTGTCTTATTCCGTGCAGAGTGAACATATAGCAGCTCTTTTATCATGTGAAACACAAGAGCAGTCTCCCGGTATCCCACGACTATGGGAGTTCATTGACCTACCTCCGTCCCCTGCAGACCGGCTGCACTGGGGCGCGTCCCTCTATGACAGAGCTGTGTTGTAAACCCATAAATGGGTGTGAGGTGCTCAAGTGATGAGGGCCATATAGATAAAACAGGATCTGCAAATTATCATCGACCTTTGCCTTGAGCTGTAATTCGTTAAGAATTGTTGCAGCCTGTGGGAAGAATTGCCCGATGACCTAATGGAGAAAAAACACTTCTTTATCATTTTCCCAGTAACTTCACTTATCTAAACAGTGAGTCAGTACAGAGGCTGGGGATGAAGTGACCCACCATGGCTCTAGACGCTGCAGGATCTTATTTAGGAATGAGACCAACTCAGTTCAACTCCTGATTCAACCGGCAGAAAAAATGCATGATTTAGTGGCTAACGAGGAAAGATGAGGCTGCAGCTAAACTGCAGACCCTGAGGTGTGCTATTGATGCTTCCCCTGAGATGCCTGTGTGCTCAGGGTATCCTGGTGCCAGTCAGTTCAGCTGCACACCCCATCTCCTGTCCTGTTCCAATGCACACTTGGGATAAGACCTAAGACTATGAGAAAAGTGCTTGAAAATCACACAGATGTGGCAAATTCCCCCTCTCCTATTCATTTTTACTTCTGCTGCACAAGGATGAGCAGTGCACAAGCCTGTCAGAAATGCAGGGTCTGGGTTATTCGATGCACCAAGCCCTCTTCCCCTGCCTTCATTTTGGAGAAGGCTGCCAGCTGGAATCACGCGACCCTGGTGATCCCAGGACACACTGAGAAATGCCCGTGCGACTGCTGAGATGCCCCAGCTTCGGTCTGGGCTGGGTGTCCACGAGCATCTGTCTGTGTGTGTATACGTGTATCTGTGTCTGTGTGTGTGTATATATGTATCCATGTAAATGCATGAGATATAGAGAGAGAGAGGGAATTGTCTGCTGCGCTCCACGCGAGGGCCTCCTTGAGCTTTGTGTCGCTCGCTGACCTTCCCGAACATGCCAGACCTGGAAATAGCCTTTTAATGGTGCTGGGTTGCACCGGTGGGGTTTTCCCCTTTCCCTTTGTGGGGCTGGTCCTGACACTTTTAAAAGGAGGTTAGATGGACACTTGTCTGGGATGCTTTAGTCAGGGATGGCCCTGCCTCAAGCAGGGGCTGGACTAGATGCTCCTGAAGGCCACCCCTGCCCGCCAGCCTGACTTTTCTACCATCCTACAACGGGGCTTTTATTGTTCTCTTTGCTTTATATCTGGCCTTTGTTTAGTACAAAATGGTGCTGCTCGACGTGTTCACTTAGTTCACTGGTTCACTTAGTCCCAGGAAAAGGTTTCTACAATCCCTAAGCACCTCACTAGACATAATAATACTAGTTGGGGCTCTGATGTGTCCTATACAAGAGAGTTGTACCCTACCTTTGCAGGAGACAGACTCGAGTATTTGGCAGGTCTTTTTATTAAAGCGATGAAAATGTTGAGAGCGTTTAAAGATTTTGCCCCCCTTCCCCACCCCTTCCTGAACCCCTGGGGATTTGGCTGTTCGGTCGGTGTAAGGATGCCTGTCATTAGCTGTCTTCCTGCTTCTGGATCTAGAACAGTCTTTGGGGGTTTTGGGGTCAGCAAGGCCATGCCACAGTGGACGGACAGAAGACAAGGGGCAAAAGTAGCTGGTCATCCCCATACAATTCAGCAGCAGATGGGGCCAGGTCCTGATTGTAATGAGCACAGCTGGAGGCCGGGGAGGTCCTGGGTATAAAAAGAAGAGGGGAAAAACCCCAAACCCACCATTTCACAGCCTGGCACAAGGTTGGTGTCATGCTTGAGCCAAACGGGGCAGACACTGCTTATTTCGTTCATCTCTAAACGTTGGAAATGGGGAGTGGACGAGATCCGGGGAAGGTAAAATGAATTGTGAAGGCCAGCACCGGGAACAGACCACGTTCTCCTCCCGTTACAGTTGTGAGGGGCAGTCCGCGGCGAAAGAAAGCTCTGCAGAAGGAGTGGTGCATCCGTGAAACCTGGCTGCACGGTTTGTGACAGGCTGGAAACGATAGACTGACGTGAGATCCGTCTGGAGCAAGTTTATGGAGCCCCTCCTGGTCGATCAGATGCTCTTCCCGTCAAGCGTCTGAGGGACTCGTTTGGGCCTCAGAGCCCCCCGTTTCCTCTAAACTGAATCAGATGATGAAACCGTATGCAATGCAAACAGGAATTCAGCAAAGCAAAGAGAAACCCAGAGATAACGGAGGAAATGACTCAGTCTGTGATCAGAGAGGAAGCAAGGCGGGGGGGAAGGCCGGCCACATCGTTTGAGTTTCATTAGCTACACTCATTTCTGAACGTTCGCACTTCTGTTGGGGTGTCTGTCTGCTGCAAAATCCCAGCTTGCAGAGCAAAAGGGGAGCTGGGATTTGCTGCTTTGATAAGGAGCAGAGGCAGCTGCCAGGAGAGGGGGCTGCAGCTCCAGGGATGGAGATGGGCGTGGACCTTCATATATCTCTTAAATGGCAGGGAAAGATTTCACAAAGCCCGTTCGTTCCCTTTCTTGCCACCCTGGCTGCCCTCCGTGCTTTTCTCAAAGCACAACAGCTAGCACGTGCGGAGAGCAGTGGGCACAGCCGGTCGGATGAAGGGCTTGCTTCTGCAAAGTCCTATCACGGGCAGATATTGGAAACGCTTGCTTCCCTGCCCATATGGATAAAGTTTTTCATTAAAGTGAACTGAACCAAACGGCATCCTTTGCTCATTTACCGTTGTCTCGGCCTTCCTACTTCATGCAGCTGCCAAGTGAACTCACTGATTCAAACCGAGCTCCGGGTGCAAAGTGGCAGTGACTGCCTGGGCTGGCCGAGTCACTGTTTGCACAGGCAAGCTGAATTTGCAGGGTCAGGACAGGCCTTGCCTACTCCCTGCCCCTTGGGAGAGAAGCCCGGCGCAGCAAGTGTGCTCAGTTTATGCCCCTTGATTACTAGAACTGCTTTGCGCTGGCCTGTTTTGCAAGGCACACTGGGGAGAGAGTATCTTGGAAAAACCTGGATTTAAAGGCGTTGAGAATAACTGGCCCCGTTGCTGGAGAGCATTGTGGGCCCAAATATAACCCGAATTCTTCCTGTGACCTTCAGGAAAGATGGTTTTCTGCCTCTTGGCCGCACTGAATTTCTCTGGAAGGTTGTTTGAATATTTTTATATCTGTTTATTGTTTCTGCCTTGCAAACAACCTGGGCTGAGCCTGTGCTATCATTCACCCAGAGCTATTTATGCAGTGTGATAAGCCTGTCTACCCTTGGCTCAGAACAAGGACTATGCTAGGGGAATATCATCAAAGCTGTGAAGGAACACACTGTTATAAGCAGTTAGAAATGTCGCCAAGTCCAGGAGAGAGGTAGCTAGCTAGCTGTGTTGGTCTGAAGTCAGGCAGAAGGCAGGGTAGATTTCCACCTTATAGACTAACTAGGTGCATAACATAAGCTTTCGTGAGCCTGAGCTCGCTTCTCCAGATGCGGGGAAAAGTGCATGGAGCTGTGCGTCAAATGGAGAGTGATTTGCATTCCAAAGACAGGCGAGCAGGGGGAGGGGGCAGTGCAGGGACAGGCAGATAGGCCATAAGCCCCCAGGGACAAAGAGGTCACAAAAACTAATCCAGGTAGCCAAAGTCCGTGTTTAGCCCATGCTCGGTCCAGGCTGCAAACATTGCATGACCAAACACAAGCCCACAGCATGGGGAACAGTAGGAGATTGAAACCAAAGCAGGTGTGAGGGCTGCTACAGAGGCCCCTAGCATACGGCCTCTTTCCTGAACTCTTCGTGCTCCGTCTTGAAAGCCAGAGATGGATTTCCACCTCCGCCACTCCCGCGAGAAGCCTGTCCCAGGCCCCTACTCCCCTGATGCTGCTTTTCATTTCCAGCCTAAATTTAGCTGAGGCCGGTGCGTCCCACTGGTTCTCGTGCCAACATTGCCCTGTAGCTTCCAGAGTTCATGCCTCTTCCTCTTTAGATCCAGGGCGCTTGGATTTCTTTGCACCCTTTGCTTTGCTCCATAAAGCTAGTCAGCTCTTCTAGGCTCCTTCATCCCACTAGCCTTTCTCTGTACCTGCTCCAGTTGAATTCATCCTTCCTGGACCCGGCTAACCAGCACCGTAAAGGGGATGCCAGATGAGAGCTCACACGGGCATCAGTACTCTCCTACCTCTGCTAGAAGTGCTTTGCCTAATGCTGCCTAGGATACTTGCCTGTTTCTGGCTGTGTTTTGGTGGTGGTTCATTGTAATCCCATGATCTACGAGGAGGGACCTGGGCTGATTGAGTCTGCAGAAGGGAAGACCGAGGGGGATTTGATAGCAGTCTTCACCTTCCTGCGGGGGGGCTGCAAAGAGGCTGGAGCTGGGCTGGTCTCAGTGGGGGCAGACGACAGGACAAGGAGCAACGAGCTCAGGCTGCAGCAAGGGAAGTTTAAGTTGGATATTAGGAAGAACGTGTTCACAAGGAGGGTGGTGAAGCACTGGAACAAATTACCTAGAGAGGTGGTGCAATCTCCATCCTTGGAGGTTTATAGGACTCGGGTAGACAAAGCCTTGGCTGGGATGATGTAGTCTGGGCTGGTCCTGCTTGGAGCAGGGGTTGGACTGGATGTGACCTCCTGAGCTCCCTTCCCACCCTCCTTTTCTATGATCTGTTACTACACCCAGGTCTGTCTTCTCTTTGCACATTTAAAATGGAGCTCCACTTACAGCAGATATTCTTTTTCTCCTCCTTGTTCCTAGGTGTTCTTGATATTAGTCCCTCAAAACGCAGGGCCTTACACTTTAGCATTATACTTCTCCCTTATGTCACTTGTCTTATTCTAGTCCAGGGGTGGGCAAAATCCAGCCGGGGCCGGATGCGGCCCGCCAGGCCATTCTATCCAGGCTATCCAGGTTTTTTTATCCAGGCTGAAAAACTTAGAAAATGAATATTTATCTGCCCCGGCTGCCTGTCATGAGGCCCTCGATGGCTTGCCAAAACTCAGTAAGCGGCCCTCCACCCGAAATAATTGCCCGCCTCTGCTCTAGTCCCTGAAGTCATCCGATTCGTCCCGCACGATATTCTGATCCTCCTCCACGTAGGCAGTGACTCGAACCTGTTTCTTCTCTGCAGCCTTCATCAGCGTTCTCCTGTCTTCTCTGTCGAGTTTGTTCGTTAAAACAGAACGGTCCAAAAAAGATCCTTGTACAGCTTTTGAAGTGCAACCCTTGCTTTCTCATCACAGCTGGTTACCCTCTCCCTTTTACTAGCTTCCACGTCCACCTCATCATCCTTCCCCTACAATCCTGGGGCTGAAAGCTGGAGGTCCCTAGTTGGAGGGTCTTGCCTTTCTGCTCAGGGTCAGACTGATCATTACATTTGCGATCAGGAATTTTACCCATGGTCAGATTGGTCAGCGCGGGGTGGGGGGTAGCAGGGGGCATGCTCCTCTACCTTGTGTCCCTGGAGTGCATTTTAACAAGACCTGCAACAGCGGCACTGCCAGCCCTTGTCCCCCTGCTTCCCCAGGGGCAGGTCTGGTGTCTTTTATGCGTCTCGTAGTTGTGCCGCAGGGTTGATTGTGTCTTTGACAAACAGGTTAGACGAGGACTTTCCAGGATGCTTTGGATAAGGCAGATCCTGCCTGGAGCAGGGGGCTGGACTAGATGTGACCTCCCGAGGGCCCTGTCAGCCTGACTTTCCCCTCGTTCACTAGTCATTCCTCATGAGACTATACCCAAGCGCTCTGCTGAGGTCCAGGTACAGCTGCAGGTTTCTTCTAGATCCTTTGCAAAGAAAGGTATGGCGGGGGTCTACCTGGGAAAGCCTGATGCCGTTTCCACTTTCCCTCCCTGCTCAGGTCCAGGTACAGCTGCAGTTTCCAGATCCTTTGCAGAGCAAGGGAGGAGAGGGGTCTCCTTAGGAAAGCCTGGTGCCCAGTTTCCCCTCCACCTCCCCAGGTACAGCTGTGCTTCCCACCCACCCTTTGCGGAGGAAGGGAGGAGAGGGGTCTCCTTAGGAAAGCCTGGTGCCCTGCTTCCCCTCCGCCTCCCTGCTCCGGTCCCGGTGCAGCTGCAGGTTTCTTGTGCATGCTTTGCAGAGGAAGGCACGGGGGGAGCCTGGTGCCCTGATGCCCTTCGCCTCCCCAGGTGCAGCTGTGCTTGCCACCCGTCCTGTGCGGAGGAAGGGACGAGAGGGGGCTGCTGCTTCCCGTCCCCCTGCCCCGGGCTTCCCGGGCTGGGGCCGGCTGGAGCCCGGCTCCGCCCTGCGCCGGGGCTGGGCTGGGCTGGGCCGGGCTGGGCTGCTCCGGAGCTGGTCGTGTCGTGTCGTGTCGTGTCGTGCCGTGTCGGA